AGTGAGCGTAGAGTTGAAATTTTGACGACTTTTTCCTAAAGGCTCAATGTAAAAAATACTAAAAGCTCAAAGGGATTGAATTGAGTTATTATTAATGGAGTTATGGACTTTTTTAAAATAATGATGTTTTGTGGAGTAATACTAACCCAAACTTCGTTTACTTTTCTCTTCCAGAGGGCCGATCCTCGGGCCAGGGAGTAGAGCTCTTCGAGAGAACTAATTTTTCCTCTTTATCATTCTTGTTTACTTTTCGATTACGTTGACAAGGACAAAAAAAATCGTTCTATCGGGGAGCTTTACTCCCTGCCCGAGGATCGGACCCCAGGGTCCTTATTCTTGAAACAGGGGAGTAGCGTTCCCAGGAGAACGAGTGTTCCGTCTTTGTCAACGATATGCAAGTGATCATATGAGTAACAAAGACGGAACACTCGTTCTCCTGGGAGCGCTGCTCCCCTGTTTCAAGAATAAGGACCCAGGTGAAATTACATATGTGTCAATTCCCAAAAAAACAGTTCATGATTCGACTGAATCTTTAAAGCAGGGAAGCCCCGGGGGAGCCTAATGCCATAGTTGTCTTGGACCTCATTTGTTGCACTAATATACACCGTAATTATGGTAAGTGTTTACAGTGGTGCCTTCCTAGCTGGCGAGTGAAGGTTGAATTAATGGATAGTTGACGGTTTTGGTTGTACAAGTGTAATTTCAAAGTGCATTAGGCCTAACGGGGAAAGCACTTAAAAAAAAAAAACGCACCGACAGCTCGTACCTCCAGGGTGGTGTGGAAATTGAGCTTATTCAAGTTACAATTGGCAAACTTTGAGGTGAGTTATTGAAAATAAAAGTTTTCTACAACAAGAAACTCAAATTATAAACTTTTTCTTACAGGGCAGCCACTAATAACCAAGAGTTTAATCCTGAATCTGCAAGATTTGTGAGGAAAGAAGCTGGAAAAGAACTGGGTGAGAACTTCAAAAAAAAAGCCTGGACCCAATATGGTAAGATTTTACTGTTTTTTGTCTAGGTTTTTTCATTTTGGACACTGGAATCTTAAAAGACTACTTGTTGGAAGTGAGTTCTCCAATTCCAATGTCCAGGGACAAAAATTAAATTGGGAAAAAATTGCTATCCAATGTTTTCAGTTTGGGTTAGTTCTGCCAGAGGAAAAGATGCTTGATTTGATTTTGCCTCTAGGCTCACAGATTTATTCTGAGCCTCATCCCAGAACAACTTCCAGATAAAAAATTCAAGTTGGGGAAAATTGTTTTCTATATTGTTCCATTTTGGTTGTAGAAGTTGTATTTTTGAATAATTTAAGGGCCTTTTACACGAGTTTCCAGACTTTAAAATTGGAAATTTAGAATTTTCCGCCTTATTGTATTTCAATTTTCGACTACTACAGGCTGTTTTTTGTGCTTCGAAAGCTTCATCATCAGAGTTTTGTTCAACAACAAGTTGTTTTGTATCCATTGCCTTCTTGTAGACCAAAAATATTCTCATTGAAAGATTGCAGATACAAGGTGAGAATATTGGTCGAAGAATCTCCCGGAACCAATATGATCTAAGGAACCAATATAGGTAATAATTGTTGGGAATATACTATGGAGAAAGCGGGCATTGACCATTTTTCAGTTTCTTTTACGTATTAATCTGTTGAGCTTGATAATAAATATTCTTAAAAATATTTCTAGAGTCACAAAATAACAAATCAAAGACGGATATGTGTGATTTTATTCAAGGCCATCGCAGCATCATTGCACTTGGACTTTCACGTATTTTTAATAATTTAACATAATGACACATTTTCATGTATTCAAGACTGAAGAGACATTCCATTCGTTTCATTGACGCCTCAAGTCGATTAGAATTTTCGTTTTTACACTTTGTCCCCAATTGATGCATATAAAAGACACAAATCTATATTCGTAATAATACGCAAAATTCAATTTATAACACTTAAATTAATTTACATAACGGGAAACGGGGAAACCAATTTCTCTTTGCCTATTAAGTTATAATTTTCTTTCGTGTGTTGCCGGTGTAATAATACTCGAGTAATATTTATCTAATATTTTTCCTTCCTGCTCGGTTATTGACAGAGAGAGGAAAGCTAATATTTGAGGTCCGCCGTTTGCAAATAAACTTCAGACTGCTTTTATAATAGGAGATTTGCTTAAGGAACGTACCTACTTTTTACAATGCTCGCTAAATTAATTTTCGCTTCTTGCTAATAGCAGTAATAGCCAACAAGTATTTCTAACATTCAGTTGTCAAATAGAAAAATCAACACTATGCTATAATATAAAGTAAGCCTCTGAAGCAGTTCGGCTAGACTCGAGGGAGACAACCTTAACTGAAAAATCAGATCCAGCTAGAATAAGGTATAGTAGCTCATCAAATGGGAAAATTGTTTCACTCTTCCATACCTTACCAGAATTTCGGGAACTGTGTTGGACGAATTTTGGATATGAATCCAAAAGCAACTAAAACAAATCCTTTTTCTAAAACAAGAAAAGATTTGGAAAGCTTTACATCTGATAAAGAAGAAGTTGAGTAAACTATCACACAAAAAAACTGTGGAAGGTGAAACAGTGGAAACGAGGATCTTTGTGTAAAGGAACCAGTTTTGGAAAAGAAAATTTTCAATCAACCTTGAACACAAGAAAAGTACAAGACTTGATTGAATCTGAGATTCTGGAAAGTGAAATTACTGAACAAGCAACCCCAAACCAGTAAAACTGTTAGGAAGGGTAAGCCAACACAAAATGGATTTTTTCCCAAGAGACCAATCAGCAAAAGGCTGTCTGAAGTTACCAAAACTGATAGTCCTACAAGTAAAGTTCCCCTTAGACGGGAACCATCAAAAGAAAAATCTTCCATCAAGAAAACTCCATCAAAAAAGCTTATAGAGGTGACCGCCAAAGTTAAGTCCAAGAATACCAACCATAAATAATTTACAGGGTTGACAAGACTTAATTTATTGATGCCACTGAATACCTAAATCAATATAATTCTAAAATTAGTAGGTTGAAAATGGAGCCAGTAAAGAGACCTGGTAAAACTTACCAGTAACCTATATGACATAGCTAGCAAACATTAGGCAGAAAAGAAGACAAATCAGCTCATATAAGGACCAATAGAGTTGATGATACGATAACCAAAAAAAAAAGTTACCAACTCTTAATAGTCTTAATGGTGATGCACCTGTTCAAAGAGAAAATATGCAGTTTCGCACCTGTAACTAAGGCCAATGAAGTGAAACCTAAACAATCCTCAACTGTCACGCAATCAAAGGTACCTATTCTGTTAAAAAAACTTTGGGTGAAGTGACGCCAAAAAGCAAAATTATTGAAGCAGAAAAGCATACTGGGACTATCAGGATAACAGTGGCACCCAACAAAAAGACTATCACCAAGACAAAACACATGTCTTCAGACGATGAAAAATCTATTGTAGGAAGTGTTAAAGGGTCGTTTATAATTGATTTAACAAACAGAGATACAAAGAAACTACCATGAGAGACATAACAACCAAAACAGTTCTCAAGGTCTTTCCACGAGCCTACTCCTGATACTCTATCCAAGACCTCTGACTAGTGACGGAGAAGAAGATGAAACGCCAGCAAGATATCCTGATCAAATTAGTGTAGTGAACCTGATTTATTGAAACGAAAACCCAAAATACTCTCAGAACATGAACATATTTGTTACTGAAACTGATTTTAATGAAAATGCTACTAGGTCAAACTAAAGTTGCTATAAGGTTGAAGAAATTGATGCAAGCTTATTAAGGATCAATAGGAAAATTGATAAATTTTTGAATACTGCTGATCAATTGACTGAAAAACCTCTAAAACCGAAGCCTAGACAAAGTTGAAAGGCCTTCTTTTGTTGTTTCAGAAGATTTAAAGAAGACGGTTGAAACCATCAAAAATGACCGTTTAAATTAAACCAAGTTCAAATCAAATTAAACTTTGTTCAAGCAACGGTGTAATGGATTTATTTGGTTTAAACCAAGATTACTGTTAAACCAAGATCAGAAAGTGTTGGTGCAACTACCCATAAGACTATGTGTGCTGTCTGATGGATATTACAAAAAAATTAAAACCAAATCAAGTTTGGAACCGGCCATTTTATAGAGGTGTGCTCTTCGATAGTTATTTACCTAACAAATTCGGAAAGTGATATTTCACCGCACGCACGGTAAAGGCACTTTCCGCATGTGTTAGGTAGGTACATAATTTTACTATGAGCATCTCTAAAAAAAGACACTATTGAAATTTCTGGACGGAAATGGATTTTTCATTATGAATACCGTCTACTTTAACGCACACTATGTAATAACGTAACTTTACCGCACCCTTTGCAGTCTACTTTAGGTCTGTTTCCACAGAAATCGCAAATCAGTAGAAGCGTTCTTGATTGGTCCAAATCCCCAACAATCAGTTTCCTGCTGACTATTTGCCACCAATGAAATTCGCTCTAAAGTTTGTGATTTCTGTGGAAACAAACCTTTTACCGCAAACTATGCGATAAAGTAACTTTATTTATCGACCGCATAGTTTGCGGTTTAGTGCTTCTGTCCAATTTACAGATAAGTAGCTTATAGGGTAAAGTGATTTTTAAGTCAATTTCCCAGAAACATATCGAAAGTTTGATCAATTTTTTCGGACCATCGCGAATGGTAGAAATATTTCTTTTTTTTTTTCACAAAATCCAACCAGCAACCTGCAATAATTGAAAATCTTTTTTGAAGTACCAGTACCAAAATTCCCAAAATTAAATGTAAAATCCCCATCGGTAAAATATTTTGATACGCTACTGATACTGATTATACTGATCCTTGTCGGCGCTACTGGCTTACCAAAATCAAAAGTGAAGTGAGGCTCTGCGAAATCATGTCTGTCTTTGTCTAACCCACACAAAAATATCGATGTTCTTGTCTAAAACCGTTACTCCAATGCCCAAACCAGTTTTAAAAGAAAATTTCAATAATGGCGTAGTAGCGAAACGTCACGTCAGTCGCGTCAGGTGAAACGTCAAAATTTTATCAACCAGACACTTCACAAAAAAGAAAATTTTCCAAGAAATATAAATTTTTACAGTAAGTGCAAAGTGAATTATCATTAATTTGCAACAATTATAATTGAATCTAATCACTGGCAATCGACCTCATTAAAAATAAGGCTAGTGAAGGCCCAGTTATTTGTGTGATAAGTGAAGGTCCAGGGAAAGTGATTCGTGTTTACACCTTTGACAGTTGGTTTTTAACACACATTTTACACAAAAACTACAGTTTTTATTTATTATTTGATTATAAAACGACCCCCCTTATCTTTATCAACAAAAAGTGCATTATTTTAGTTGCATTTTATCCTGACAAAATGAGTGCAACGATTCATCCTAGGGAGTTTGTAAATAAAGACGAGGAAATCAAGTATTGGAAGAATCTTGCCCTAGAATACCAGGAAGAGTAAGTGGATTTTGCATTTATAAACATTGATATTGATTGTTTTGTTATGTATTAGAATTGATCGGGTACAAAAGGAATCAGAGGAATTTATCACAGAGTCAAAACAGTTGGAGAGAGAATATGAATCTGCTCTCGATCAAAACGAACACAAGATAAAAGAACTGAGTATTAGCAATAACAGAGCCCATAACGAGATAGACGCATTGAGAGTAAAGCTAGATATTTGTTTAAAAGAGACAACAAATCAACAAACCGAAATAGAGATGCTTAAAAATGAAAAACAACAACTTATCAAGAAAGTTGTAGAACTAGAAAAATGCAATGACGACCTAGAAAGATCCAGGAGAATCATTGAAGAAAGTATGGCCGGTTTTGAGCAAGCCCTAAACTCCGCTTTAGAGAAAAATGCTATTTTGGAAAACGAAATAGACGAAAAAGGTTATATGCAAGAAAAACTACAAAGATTGGCTGACGAAGCTAGAGGTAGGATTTTCGTTACTTCAACATCAAATATCATAGAAGTTTGTTTTAGATTTGAAACAAGAACTTCTAGTGAAAGAAAAAGTCAGTGTGCCCGACAACGAACGATACATGAATGGATTCAAGACCGCCCCAATAGACAACAGATTAAAGGAAAACGAAACGCAGACTACTTCACCATCCAAACGTAAGATTAATCGTTTTAATAAAGCTTATAAGAGCTTTCGTTCTGCATTGTGTCGCAAAAAAGATGCCTAATAATTTGTGTTTTTTTTTGGCATGATTATTGTGTTTGTGTATCTTATTTTCTATTAGTTTTGACAAATCTTCAATTGTGTCCTATGATAGAAGATGCAATAATTTTACACATTAGATGTGTGTAAAGTGTCCATACATAGTATTGAAGTTATGTAACTTAGAACCGTCCGATTGTTCCTAAGAAATTCTATAAATTTTTTGTATATTTAGGAATGTGGCCGCAATAGTCACAATTAAAAATATCAATCAGTCAAAATATCTTGCCTAACCCTTTTGCTTATAATGATTTTGAGCTCTCTGTTATTTTGGGAATTTAACATTTGAGCTTTAAGTTTTATTGGAAATTGTTTCGAAAAACGAGAGTCCTGTGACTTGAAGAAAAAGATGACAAAGTACTTAAGGTTTAGGTCGATCCATTTGACTATAAATTGTACACAATATTTCAATTTTTCACATACATATTTTAATATGAAAAAAATGACTTATCTGCACTAGTGCGGACAAATTACAAATAAGTAGTTACAATACAATACAATACAAAAACTCTTTATTTAAAAATTGTGTTACAATATATAAAATATATAAACACAAAATAAATAGTACCACAGAAGGGCAAAACAATATATATAACTTAGCCAAAATAATCATCTAAAGAGTATGGTTCTAATTCTATTAAAAATTTCCTTAATTTTGTTTTAAACACCTTTACATTTGAAATATTTTTGATTTCACTGGGCGAATTATTGAAAAGTTTAAGACACATATGTAATATGGAGTCTTTTCAGTAAATGTCAAATGATGTATTGGATAGTTTACATTCAATGTTCTTGTATTATATACATGAAACGTTTGTAATTCAAACTGTGCTCTGTTTCTGAAGAAAAACATTAGACATTCAAATATAAATATTGCATATACTGTCAATATACCCTCATCCCTAAACACACCTCTACAATTATGCCTATATACCATTTTCTTAATAGATCTTATTGTTCTTTTTTGAACTACAAATATTTTTTCTATCAGGCTGTTCTTAGCCCAAAAGATTATTCCATATTTCATGACAGACTGAAAATTAGCAAAATACATAATCTTTTGTACTTCTTCTCTTAAATATCTTCCAACAATTCGTATTCCATGCAGACCCAAAAATTTTGTGTGTTCCACAACATTCAAATGATCCTCATCTACAGTTAGAAACTCAGGCTTTCTGACCCTTGATAATTTTGTTCAAAATAAAATTATACTTGTCTTTTCTTTGTTCAAAATAAGCTTAGTTCTTGAGAAAAGCAATTTTGGTGAATTATTAAAAATATTAATTCCATTATAGTCAATATCAAAATATGCTTTATTGTTGTGAGCAAATTATTGGTATAAATATTTATTAACGGACCAGCCCTCGGACCAGCCATTTACAGAAATTGGACTTATACTAAAAATAAGCACTAAAAATACAATAGTCGTACAATATAGACATATCAGTTAAATCAGTGAAAAGCAGTTACAGTCCTCAACATCACACTAACACAGATTCAAAAATTAAAGTTGTAAAAAAAAATATAAGTTAGGAGAATAAAATTTGAGAAAATTAGCTTTTATCACAGGCTCCATCACAGGATATTTTTTATTTTTGAGTCAAACACACTTAAAGGATCATTAAAGATGTTTACATCACCATTTGCAAGCAATTTATTTGCACTATCTGGAAAGCGTGTCAGAGATAAAGATAAACCATAATTTGTTCTATGAAATGGAACATTAAACAGGTCTACCCCTCTCCGATTTCTCTGTGGCACCTTAAGTTCTATCAAAGATAGCAATTCTGGACAGTCTATGTATCCATTCAAGATTTTATATAGGGTATATATATATATATATATATATAATTATCGGTTTATAACGTGCAACGTCTTCCGATTCCCGATCTCCAACCATCTCTGTCCATCCAGGCATCCTCCTCTAAACCTCTGTCTCTCATTTCTTCGTCTACTCCACTTCTCCAGCTTCTTCTTGGTCTGCCGCGTCTTCTTCTCCCCCCTGGCTTCCACTCAATAATTTGCTCGGGTATCCTTGTATCTGCCATTCTTTGTATATGTCCGAACCAAATCAGCTGTTTGTCCTTTATATCACCTACTATTGTGTGTTTTACGTCCATAATCTCACTAATTCTCAGATTTGTCATCCTTTCCATTTTTGACCTGCCTGCGGATCTCCTCCAAAAGTCCATTTCAGTTGCTTCCAGCATTTTTGCAGTTCTGTTCTTTAGTGGCCAGACTTCCGAGCTATATGTGACTATGCTTTTGACTATGGTGTTGTATATTCTAGTTTTGTTAGTTTTGTTGATATTTTAGTCCCACAGTACACCATTTAGTAGGGATATTGCCTTGCGTCCTTGTATATTCCGATCTATAATTGCTTCGTCTAGGGTTCCCTCATGTGAGATTTTCATGCCCAAATATTTGTATTCAGTACACTGTTTTATTTCTTGTCCATTATTCAATTTCAGAAAAGTGTTGGTGATATGCAGCATCCCTGTCAGCATCCCTGTTTTAGTCCTTCAGTTGCTATAAAGCCTTTACTGATTAAGTTTCCCTGTTTAATCTTGGTCTTTGCATTACTATAGAGCATTTTTACTGCCTATATTAGTTTTAAGTTGATATTGGTCTTTTCCAGTGCTTCCAAAAGCTTTTTCAGCGGAACATTGTCATATGCTTTCTTTAGATCTACAAAGAGTAAATGGAGTTCTTGGTTATACGCTTGTTTCTTTTCTATTACCTGTGTCAAACTTAATAAATGGTCTATAGTTGATCTTTCTGCTCGAAAACCGGACTGTTCTTCTTCCTCACTATCTTTGTACTCGTTCTCTATTCTGGCTTTTATGAGTTTTCCATACACTCTGCTCAGTGTGTTTGTTACTGTAATTCCTCGTTGGTTCTCGCATTTATTGCTATCTCCTTTCTTATATATAGCTGTTAAATAGCTTATTCTCCACTCTTCTGGTACTTCATGTTTATCTATGCATGTTTGAAATAGTTTTGTTAATTGTTTGTAGAGTTTATTGGTCCCATACTTACTCCATATATTTCTCCTGGGCATGGTGCCCTACCGTTTTTCAAGAAGCTACAGTGTTTTTTAACTTCTTGCATAACTCTTGTAGGTGATCCTGCAGTTTTTATGTTTTGTGTCTGTTCTCTTTCTTCTTTAAACTCTGCTCGCTGTTCCGTCAGTAATTCTTCAAAGTACCAAATTGCTGGGGTGTTATTGTATTGATAATATCCTTGAATTTTGTTTTCCTCATAATTTTCAGTAATCTCCAACTTTATGTGTTTCTTTTACCTCCCAGATAAGTATTAATATGCGCACAGGTTCTTTCCCATGACTCGTTTTTTTTTCTGTACTATTTTATTCTGTACTGTTGCTTGCGCTTCTTTATATCTTTGTCTCGTGTCTTATTTGAACTTAGATACTGTTGGTATTCCTTCCTTTTATCTGCTATGTCTTTCTCTATTTCTTGATCCCACCAATAAGGTGAGGGGTTCTTATATCAATATATTTTCGCCTATTGCTGAGAGTTTTCAGATTAAGGGAGTGAAGTATTTCTTCATATACAATATCCTCATTTGGTATACCCAATTTAAACCCAACAAATTTCACAAACCTCTTTTGCACTTTTTCAGTCTGTTGAACATACTGACCAAACCTGGCAGTCCTCTTCCAAAACTGACCTCATGTAAGAACAAAACAGAGTTTAAATATATGAGTTACAAATGACTTTTTCTAGACATCTGGATAGATACCAGTTAACATTGACTTAGTAAAGATAATGTTTAAAATAAAGGTCAAAATACATGCACAATTTATCACAAATATCCCAGATATGTAGAGATGGCAAATTCTCGAGATTTTATTTTGGGAGAATTTTATCGGAGAATATTCAGGAACATTGGAGAATTTCGAAAAATATAGCTTCTTAACATCATTTGGGGCTTTTTGCATTTTTCTGGTACACAAAATCACAAAATTGACATAGAAATTTTGTAGTCCTTATTTTGTCTGAAATGTTTCCATATCAAACCTCTAGGTTTCATTTTCGAAGGAATTCCCTCAAAACTAATATTAAGGGCCGGTTTATTCATCTACTGATAAACTGTCAGGTATGCAATCTGACAGATAAAAACGCAATCTGTAATCTCATTGGTCGGCCAGTTATCCGCCAACCAATAAAATCTTAGAATGATACATTTATCTTGCAGATAGTACTAGTAAGTAGTAAGTTTATCTGAAGATGAATAAACCGGGCCTAAATAAGTTGATAATTAAATATTTCTTCGCACACACTCTGTATTCTGCACAGTGCAGAGACAATGAAATAACTTCTGGCTGGGCCATGGCGTTTCCAGTTGGTAGAAATACCTAGTGCAAAGGAAATGTGTTTCTATCTGTTTCTTTAACAGGCTGAGAGAAAGAGCTGGAAATACACTCAGCAATGGCACCAGTGCGCATTAAATCTAATCTACCAATCGAAAACGCCTATGGACTCGGGGGATTTACCTGGATTCACTGTTTTCTGTTTTTCATTTCAACCTAAACTCACTACGAACCTAGTCCTATCTGTAAAGTGCAAATTGATAAATTTAAAAATTACAGGTAATTTCCCATAAATTCTCGAAAATAACCGCATATTCTCATAAATTCTTGAACCTAAAGAAAATTATAAATTCTCGAGAATTTAAGTCCAAAGAATATTCTCGGTAAATACTCTGTTCTCAATAGAAGTTCTTTGGAGAATATTCTCAGGGCCATAATCTCTACACATATGTTATTAGGCCCAGCAGATAAATGGTCTTTTAGGCTAAGAATTGCATTGTAGACATCAATTTCATTAAAATCACAAGTACTTATAGATAACGAACTAACTACATTAAAATT